GGTCAAATACATGCAGAGGAGAAATTCTTCCGTCGGTTGGTGCATGTTTTTTCGTATAATTAACAAGGACGTAGGCCTACGTTCCGTACTTGGCATCGCAGCCCCCAAACCTGGATCGGTCAAACACGTACATTGAAGAACAATTTTCTTGCGGAGACCCATGAAATGCGTCCAAATCGCGGGCGACTTTCGCGTACGTACATACATAAACCTGGAGCTGGCCATAATTTGTATCCATGCGTGGAAGTCTAATCTAATTAAGCTTTTTGTTTTCGAGTATATGATGAATTTGGAGCCTTCTGAAATACATGATCTGGATGGTCTTCGTCCTGTCCGGAGGTTGACCACAAGGAAATTGCTCGTTATATTCCGTGGCGACTCTCGGATCAATATGATATGGAGCAAAAGTGATATGATATACGTTTTTAAATCAGAAAGTCAGGTCAATTCGAAGAAAAGGGCACCGTGCACACAGGTGCTCGATTATTCTTGCCCTTTCGGTATAAAGAAGCTAATCTCATGCACTTACTACTTGTCGAGGCTTCTTTAAGTGATTAGTTAATGGATTAGCCGTCGTGTCATCTCCGCTTTTGAGACCGAACATTCCGACATGTCAAACCAGTACGTACTCACGGAAGATGGCGGGCCATGGCCATTTTTTTCAAAACGGAAGCAAAAGATTTGCCTCATCAATTAAATAAGAGAAGAATAGAGTTACAGAGTGTTACAAAAGGCCGGGGGAACGGCATGACAATTATTCGGGTAATACAAGTTTCCCTAATTTCTTCGCCCCCGCTGTAATTAACTCAAAGGTTGGCCTCGTCCACAATAAGCTTTAGGAGGATTGGTGACGGTGCACTCTTGTGACGGAATACCCTAGCGTTCCTCTCATTTCATATTGTCCACGACACAAACATGATAAGAGAGGCCATGGCGCGTCAATCCGGGTCGCTCGAATTGGTTCGTCTATCCCACCACTCCAAAAGGGATCCTGCAAGGTGCCAGTCATTAGTGTCCATTATGACTTATGTGACAGGCCAGTTCCACGTTCTATCAAGAGAAGGAGATCATCATATCAAGATTCTGAAATCCAAAAAGGGCATTATTGCAGCACATGCGGGGCAGTTCTAGTGAGAAATCACACCCCATTGTTTTTTGGCAAGGGACAACCTAATCTCGCTGCTCGAGCGTCGTGGATCACTGGCCATCGCTCATTACACCCGAGCTCTAGAACAAAAAAATATTGGACTTGGGGGAAGACTGTACTATCAGTGTTCTCATCATGTCCTCACGGAGTTCGCTTTGAATCAGCTTGGGGTGCAACTAAGCTGCACAAGAACATGAACAATATTATACGGGTATTCGTCGCTTCGATTGGCAAAATGATCTTTCCCCAACAGAAAATTGCAAGAGGATCAATCAAGCAATTATCGTACGCGGACGGTTCAGGAATTACACGGCTGCTTTGAATCTCTTTGTTTATGACCCAACGGTGGGCTTTGGCACGGTACATACATTGAACTGAGCCTGAACCCGAATCCAGAGCCGCTGATCGAGCAGGCACCACGCACGTGCCAAGGGTCAACCACCAGCGAATCTAGGGACACTTGCACTTCTCTGTATTCGATTTGTTCCCGCGCGTGTGTATAGGGTTTTTGTACGAGTTGATTAGGACCCACTCCCAGTGCTACAATGGCTGGTACGCCGTATGCATCACCCCGTACGTTACCCAATCACTCGGGAGAGTGAGCTCGGGTCGCCCATGTGACGGCGTACGTATACCTGCGTAGGGCAACGCGTTTCCGTAACCACTACACGTCGCCTTCGATCTCACTGCGCCCTACGCCTGCCAGAGCCTATCTCTACTAGTAGCTTTGATCTCCCTCACAGTTTTTTTTTTTTGAGATAGTTCACCACTCATGTGAAGTGGTGATCTCTCTCACAGGTTACTACAATTGTTTGCGTCTAACTCACAAATATACTTTATCGCTTATCAGTTATCTCTCGCCTCTTTCGAATCAATATGTGGTTGGATGGTTAGGAGTACAATGAACGTTTGTGATAACTTCGTAAAATCTCAAAATATTAGAGCATCTACAGTCGCGCGCCCCAAACCCGCCTCAAACGTACGAGCGAACGGCCCGGTCAGTGACCGGTAAAAAAAGACACAGACGGACGCCTCACACGGGTCTCAAACAGTCAGGCTGACCGGCACCCTCATATCCAGCCCAACTATAAGGCGGATATGGAGAGCTCGGGCGCGAGCAGGCGCACCCGTCAGTCGGACTGACGGTCGGGTCCCACACAGAAAATCATCCGAAAACCGAACAGTCCGAGGGACGTCTCTTTCGGTGGGATGTGAGCGCCGCGTGGCGCCACTCCGGCTCACCGCCCTAGGCCAAAGTCCGGCTATTTAACCGGCCGGCGTCCCCAACCCTAGCCACAATCTCTTCCTTCCTTTCCGCGCCGCTAGCCCCAGCATGTTTCTCTCAGTCTCCACCTTCCTCTTCCCTCGCCGTCTGACATGGCCCGGCAGAAGAAGACCACCTATCCTATGCTAACGCCGGAGCGCCACTTCCAAATCGAGGAGGAGATCCGTACGAGGCGCATGGCTCGGATCGCGGGGTGCTTGCCTCCGGACTCGCCTGAGCCGGAGGAGGAGGGGGAGGGGCAGTAGCAGCCATAGCGCATGGAGGGGGCACATCCGGAGGAGGCGGACGCGGCAGAGCCAGAGGAGGAGCCGGCATTAGTTGCGGGCTTCAGCAGGGCGGAGTTCACCGTCGCTCAAGCGGCGGAGATGCCAGAGCAGACAGCCATTCTGGAGTCCATCCAGGATGAGGTATACGTGGAGTCCAACTGGCACTTCCTCCGAAAAGAAAAGGCGGAGACCGACACGCTCTAGGACGAGGTGGAAGCTGAGATGGAGGCGGAGTTTCATATATGAGGTGTTTGGATGCAGAGAGAGTTATCTGAGGAGTGCCTCGTCAGTGCCCGCGGATGCGCTCGGTCGCATCCGCGGATGTTTGAGGGGCTGGATTTGCCAAGTTCAGCTGTAAATGCTTTTATGCTGACTCAGTCTCTTGGAGGTGCTCATAGGGGTAGGATGTGTGTGTGTGCGTTCATAGAGATGAGTATATGCTCGTGTATGTGAGTGACTTCGATTGTACTGTGTTAAAAAAAACTCTTTTGGCGTTTTTGAGCCTGTTATCTCTTGGCTCTATCCTTAGCATGTTAGGGCATCTCCAACGCCGACCCTTAAACCATCCACAACCATCCAGATCAGACGGTCCGGACGTGTTTTGCCATCCAACACGATCCTACACATGTGCGCTGGTCGGTCCTGACATGCTTTTTCCCACAAAACGGAGACAAAGGGAGGGCATCCAGACCACTCTCACAACCGCTCCCGACTACCCTGGTGGCCTGGCCCACCCAAAAAAACCACCCGCGCTTGCGTGCGTTCCCGCCCGGCGCCGCCTACCCGCACTCATGCCGTTGTAGAACAGCCCTCCACATTGACGCTGGCGCTGAACTGATGCGACCTCTCACTGCTGACATTGAAGCGGCGCGTAGGCCGAGAGAGCACTGTCTGCTGCCCGCCCAGCTGAACACGCCTCCTCGCCGCATTCAAACGGCTACAAATTGTCCATCTCCCTCCATTAAACTCACCCATGTGCTGACAAATCTACTTCAGCCACACGTCCGTTCGCGAGCCGGCCGTCACTAAACATAATGTCGGTTGGCTCCAAGTCCGTCCGCTATTTAAGAAAGTCGCACCACACCTTCGCTCCCATCTCCTCCTTGCACCTTTTTCTCCGCACTCTCCACAGCATTCGGCAAGCAAGAATATGAGTTCCCCGGCATAAAAGTTGGCTGGGTGGTTGTTGTGCCCACTGGAAACGAGTCAGGATGCTCTTTGTTCCACCTCCCTCGACGCTCTAGGCCGTGCAGGCCAGCTCGCGATGGCGGAAGCTCCAAAGCGGCACGTGGTTTAGCAACTGCTCCAAGCCAGCTCGCCGAGGAGTGGTGACTTGCTCTAGGCCGGCACGCGGGGGAGCACGGCGACACAGACAACATTGCTGTTGTGGACGAGGTCGTGTCATACTGCTCCTCCATGCCCGCGGACGTGCCATCCGCCATCAACATTTGCGGAACAGTGCCCTGCCTGCTTTGCGAAGATCGACGAGGCGGCGGCCAGCACGTCCGCTCCCGCCGCCATCATCGGAAAAAAAGTAGAACAGGAGAGGCCACCGCTTGTGTCCCATGAATGTCACTACCGGGGCGTCGCCGGCGTACACAACTGGAGGAATATGCTTCAACTAGTGGGGAAGGGTGCCCTGCAGCTGAAGCATATTCCTTCGGTGCCACTCCGATGAGCGCCGCTGCCGAACATTGGGAAGCGGAGGCCCTTTGCGCTGAAGCACTTATCTTTGGGGCTCATGACAGTCCGGACATGGGGAAAACAATAGAGATCTGCCGTGACCGACCGTAGACTAGTCAAGGGTATCCTTGTCGTGGGAATAGATATCCGCCGGCGCCGGCCGTAGACTAGTTTTACCTTAATCCAGTTTGAATGAAGTTCATGCGATTTGTTTAAACAGTTTTTTAAATGTACGCGGATAGTGTTAGATGTCCGGCTCTGCTTCTACGTTCGCGGACCGGTCCCGTCGGCTGATGAATATTGGAGGAAATTTTGGGGGTGAGTGTTGGAGATGCCCTTATCTCTTGGCCTCACTTTCTCTTCGATCGGCTGCAAAGGGAAAGGAAGGGTTGAGCTCCGAGAGTGGACTTAGCTGTCGCGTAGGTCGCTCGGCCGCCTTCCATGCCCCTTCCCCGTTGGTTCCCTCGTCCTAGGTTTCTGGTATAAAGCACGATCCGGCACGACCCGCTGATTCATTCGCACTCACAAGCTCAGACACCCAAAAGCCAAAAAAAGTTGGTGCACGTACTGTCCTTTTCTAGTGCGAAGTTCGAGCTAGCAGAGCAGAGAGACTCTCGCCATGGCGCTGGCCACCCCGACAGCCGTGGTGCTGGAGCTGATGACCATGGGGCAACAGTCCGCGGCGCACCTCGGGGAGCTGCTCCGAGCAGCGTCCCCGCCCGTGCGGGCCGAGCACCAGGCGCTCGCCGCGGAGATCCTCCGCTGCAGCGACCGGGTGATCGCCGCGGTGAGCGCGGGCGCCACCGATAAAAAGAGGAAGATGACGGACCCTAGCGCCACATCCTGCCATCTTCCCTCGGCCGCCATGCCGTCCAAAAGAAGGTGCGATAGTTCAAATGAAAGATTTCCTCCACCCTTTGCACGAGCATGAGGGTTTGACAGGTTGCCGTCGATTTCGCAGGGTACGTGCTGCGGAGGCGCACATAGAGGTCCAGGCGCACACGACGGCGGACGGGTTCGTGTGGAGGAAGTACGGGCAAAAGGACATCAACGGAAGCAACCACCCGAGGTACGTACAGTTGAAAGAAATGCCCCTAATGGTCGATCAGAGCATATCCTGACGCTATTTTGTTGCATGCAGGCTCTACTACCGCTGCGCGTTCAGCGGCGAGGGCTGCGCCGCGACCCGGCGGGTGCAGCGGTCGCAGGAGGAGCCCGCGGCGTTCGTGATCGCCTACTACGGCGAGCACACCTGCGGAGCGGGCTTTGGCGACGCGTGCCAGCAAGGGGCGGCGACGGTGCCTCCTACCGTCGTCGACTCCGGCTCAAACGCTCGTGGAGCCGTTGGTGCCGTCGACTGGAACAGGGGCTCGCTTCTGCTGCCGTCGCTCCCAGCCGAGCACGGCGCACGCCGTCACGGCGAGGCGCCCGGTGACACGTCGCGGGGATGGTTGTCACCGTCGTCCTCGTCCTACTCGTCGGAGGTGGAACTTGGTGCTTCTTCTGTCGGGGAATTTCTCGATGGTAGCTTCGACTGGGAGTGGGAGACCGTTGTCAACTCCCTCCGTTTCGGCGATCTGCTTCAGTAAAGCTTAGGAGATGTCTGCCTCAGCTTGCGACACAACCTCACCATTTAGTGGACAGATCCGGAGTATATTTGCGTTCCGACATGAACGTGTCACCGTGTGCCTATAACCATGCCATGTCGCCACAGGGAACTAGTCGGGAGCATGATACCTAAGACAAGTCGGTGGGGTCTTTTGAGCATCCAAAACGTCACATATGCTGGGAGGGACGGCACGAGACGGTTATGGGCTATCCAGGTCGACCCGATCGTCCTAGGGCCTTGAGATTCGCTATAAGTGAACATGGAGAACGAGGAAGTTCTTTAAAAAACGAAGAACGGGAAAAAAGAAAATAAGATAGATAAAAGTGAAGGTAAAAATGATAAATTTATTTGTCAATTATGTGGTGTTTAATTGGTCGTGGTCTCTCATTTATATATGTGACAGATGGACTTTCCGTACAAAGAAAAAGACTCAAAAACCTGTTCAACAGGTCAAAACCTAGACTAACTCGGACAGAAAATCCGCAAAGAAATAGGACATGTTGGGATGAAATAGTTGAAACAGAGAATCCACTAAAGTCGGACATTGGGTCGGACATTTAAGTCGGAATTTCCAACTTGACTTTTCAATTTCTGTCTCTGACCATGCATCGGTTTTGAGGTTGTATGCCACTTTGGATTGAGATAATACAAAAGGCAAAGTTGTTCGCTTCGATAATATCAAGAATTTTCATGTTGAGGACTTTTGTGTTGAGAAAATAGAGTAAATAGGTAATTTTTTGATTAATTTAATCAAAAAATAATCGTGATTATGGCATGAAAGTATTAACGACATACTGATTGCGATCTAAATAAGCGCTTACTACGCATATAGTAGAAACATCTATGCACATAGAATGACATACTGGAGCGGGATAATCATGCTATACCCTCTAGTTGGCCAGTTGGCCGTAGCAGCGGCAGTGGCGACAGCCTCCTTCTGGTGAGCGGCAGCCTTCTCGGCGGCGGCTCCCTCGGCATTGATGGACATGATGACGACGCCGTGGACGCGGATGAAGTAGAGGAAGCGGACGAACGGCGGCGAGCAGTTGCGTATGAGACGCTCCCAAAAACTTAATCATCCCTCTCATGTACATGATCTAGAGAGGCGGGATTTCGGAGGCCTGCTCTTTCGTCAACCGTGTACACGCTGAACGGGATGGGATCACCGGCGGCGGCAGCAGCGTGGAGAGACGTGGGTTCACTAGTAGAAAAAGGGTCAAACGTGAAGCACATTAGTGCCGGTTTGAATTTGAGCCGGCACTAATGTGTACATTAGTGCCGGTTCCAACGGCTAGCCGGGCCGCTCTCATTAGTACCGGTTCGTGGCGAACCTTTAGCACCGGTTCGTGCCACGAACCGGTACTAAAGTGAGTGGTGGCAGGATGTTGTCAGTCCGGGGGCCCTCCAGCACCTTTAGTACCGGGTCATATCACGAACCGCTACTAAAGGTCGTCCTACATAGACCCTTCCTCCACCCGAGCTCGCTCTGTTCTTCCCCTTTCCCCTCTCCTCTCTGTTCTTTTCCCTCTTCCTCTCAAGCTCATCACACATTTTGCCCAATTTTTTTCAAGATTTAAAGGCCCCCATCCATTCAAATGATCACAAAGGTTAGCAACTTTATCCTTTCATCTCTCATTGCTAGATTAGCTCGTGCAATGCTTTATATAGTGATTGATTTTTGAGTTTAGTAATTTGGGGGAATTATATATATGTGCTAGTATTTGATTTATATGCAATTTGAGGTCAAAAATAACACTTAGTTTGCATATGTAGGTGTGCTTTACTTAGTGCCTTCTAAATCTCTGTCGTAACCACCGTCGATCGCCCGCAACGTCCCGTCGCCGGCACCACCTTGTGGTGAGCCTCTTTTTCATGAATGTTTTATATAAAAAATTGATGTTTGTGTGATTTGGATATATAGTTCCTCGTATAACTATCTTACCCATACATTGTTTGTTATACATAGTGCCATGGTTTTCATATCCATCCCCGTCGGCCCTCGTCCGGGTTATGATTCGGATGTGGTATATTCTCTTTTAAAACTATTCATTGCATTTCGTATTTATGACAAATTATGCCCATCAAGTTGACATAGATATTTGTATGTAGGAGGTAGTTGAACCGGAAATTCCAACCGACCATATTGTCGAGAGGTTAAATTTAGTTGAAAGAGAAAACGAGGATTTGAAGGAAAAATTGAAAAGAATTGAGGGGGAGAAGATGGAATTGGAGTTGCATGTTGCCGATGTCGTCGGTGATCACAAGATTAAGATGGAGAAAATGCGCTTGAAGATTAGAAAGATTAGAAAATATGCCATTCATAGTGAGGCTTGGTATCATTATGGTGTTGGATCAATTGTTACCTTAGTTGCGATCTTGATCGCATTTGTTGTTGCATTTAAATTCTTTAGCTAGAGAGTTATTTGTTTGTTGCATTTAAGTGTTGTATGATCTTTATGTATGAACTTTATGTATTGTATTAATTTAATGTTTTCGGTGCTGTGTATTGAAGATGAGCCGGCAATGGATGTACGATGACCGATGCTCTCCCGAGTTCATTAATGGCGTGCGTACTTTTCTGCTTGCGGCTGAGGCAAACAAGCGAGCGGATGGTTTTATGCCTTGTCCATGTGCTGGCTGTAAGAATGGTCACAATTACTCTACGTCAAGAACCATTCACGTCCACCTGTTTGAGTCCGGTTTCATGCCCCACTATAATGTTTGGACGAAGCATGGAGAAAGAGGGGTTATGATGGAAGACAATGAAGAAGAAGAGGACAACGACAGCTATCCTGGCCATGGGTTCCCTGAATACGATGATACAACAATGAGGGAAGAAGCTGAGCCGGTAATGCGGGAAGAAGCTGAGCCGGCAATGCGGTAAGAAGCTGAAGAAGAGGCATCGGATGAGCCCGTTGATGATCTAGGTCGGGCCATTGCCGATGCAAAGAGAAACTGCGCAAGTAATTTGGAGAAGAAGAAGTTGCAGCGCATGTTAGAGGATCACAAAAAATTGTTGTACCCGAATTGCGTAGGTGACAAGAAAAAGCTGGACACCATACTGGAATTGCTGCAATGGAAGACAGAGAATGGTGTATCTGACAAGGGATTTGGAAAGTTGCTGATAATGATAAAGGATATGCTTCCAAAGGACAACAAATTGCCCTAGAGTACGTACGAAGCAAAGAAGGCTGTCTGCCCTCTAGGGTTAGAGGTGCAGAAGATACATGCATGCCCTAATGATTGCATCCTCTACCATGGTGAGTGCGAGGATTTGAACGCTTGCCCGGTATGTGGTGCATTGCGCTATAAGATCAGCCGCGATGACCCTGGTGATGTCGAGGGCGAGCGCCCCAGAAAGAAGATTCCTGCCAAGGTGATGTGGTATGCTCCTATAATACCACGGTTGAAACGTTTGTTCCAAAACAAAGAGCATGCCAAGGCGATGCGATGGCATAGAGAAGACCGTAAAAAAGATGGAAAGTTGAGAGTACCCGCTGACGGGTCGTAGTGGAGAAAAATCGAAAGAAAGTACGGGAAGGAGTTTGCAGATGACGCAAGGAACGTATGGTTTGGTCTAAGCGCAGATGGCATTAATCCTTTTGGGGAGCAGAGCAGCAACCATAGCACCTGGCCTATGACTCTATGTTTGTATAACCTTCCTCCTTGGTTGTGCATGAAGCGAAAGTTCATTATGATGCTAGTGCTCATCCAAGGCCCTAAGCAACCCGGCAACGACATTGATGTGTACCTAAGGCTATTAGTTGAAGAACTCTTACAACTGTGGAATGGAACATGTGTACGTGCGTGGGATGAGCACATGGGGGAAGAATTTGACCTAAAGGCGTTGCTGTTCGTGACCATCAATGATTGGCCTGCTCTCAGTAACCTTTCAGGACAGACAAACAAGGGATACCACGCATGCACGCATTGTTTGGACGATACCGACAGTATATATTTGGCTAATTGTAAGAAGAATGTGTACCTGGGACATCGTCGATTTCTTCCGAGCAGGCATCCCATAAGAAAGAAATGCAAGCATTTCAAAGGTGAGGCGGATCACCGGACTAAGCCTCGCCACCGTACTGGTGCTGATGTACATGATATGGTTAAAGATTTGAAGGTGGTCTTTGGAAAGGGTCCTGGTGGACAACCTGTTCCGAATGATGCTGACGGACGCGCACCCATGTAGAAGAAGAAATCTATATTTTGAGACCTGCCCTATTGGAAAGACCTAGAGGTCCGCTCCGCAATCAACGTGATGCACGTGACGAAGAATCTTTGTGTGACCCTGCTTGGCCTCTTGGGCGTGTATGGGAAGACAAAAGATACACCTGAGGCACGGGAGGACCAGCAACGTATGCACGGAAAAGATGGCATACATCAGGGTCATGCAAGCTACGCTCTTACCAAAGAAGAGAAGGAAATCTTCTTTGAATGCCTGCTTAGTATTAAGGTACCGTCTGGCTTCTCGTCGAATATAAAGGGAATAATAAACATGGCAGAGAAAAAGTTCCAAAACCTAAAGTCTCATGACTGCCACGTGATTATGACGCAACTGCTTCCAGTTGCATTGAGGGGGCTTCTACCGGAAAACATTCGATTAGCCATTGTGAAGCTATGTGCATTTCTCAATGCAATCTCTCAGAAGGTAATCGATCCAGAAATCATACCAAGGTTAGAGAATGATTTGGTGCAATGTCTTATGAGTTTCGAGTTGGTGTTCCCATCATCCTTCTTCAACATCATCACACACGTCCTAGTTCACCTATGCGAAGAGATTAACATTTTGGGTCCTGTATTTCTACACAATATGTTCCCCTTTGAGACGTTCATGGGAGTCTTAAAGAAATATGTTCATAACCGTGCTAGGCCAGAAGGAAGCATCTCCAAGGGCCATGAAAATGAGGAGGTCATTGAGTTTTGTATTGACTTTATTCCTGACCTTAAGCCGATTGGTGTTCCTGAATCACGGCATAA